ATTATCTCACGGACAGCACTTTCATTCAATCAATGTTTCGAACGATTTCAGTGGGTAACACGATAACTCACAAAATAAACGGAATTACTTTGGACTGACTTTTGTGTCATTCGGTTTTTTGGTGGTACGATTTTGCTATGACTTTAATTTGCCTTACACGCTCAACTAAAAAATTTCAAGGACCATTTATATAAGATTATTGATGACAGCAACATTCAGTATTAGGTACTCTATCGGAGTTGATCACGCTCACTGATAGGCTTTATAGATATTGTGCATAGTTTTAACATTTTTCATGCAGTTAATGGCTGGCGCTTCTGGGATTTTCTGGGGTAAAGGTCAAACGAGTGTCCTTACACTGTGTTGGGACGGACTAATTTAGACAACAATTTCGTTTCAAAAGAGTAGTTTTTGTACATATTAATCCTTGGTGTCTCATTAAATGCTGTTGTTAAATACTTATCGGCTTATCTTGTGAATTTTTAAATGGGGTTTCAGTTAATCGTTATATGTCTGAGGCTATAGAAGCACAATGTAATTTAAAAGAAGACTTATCTAGGCTGACCGGACACATCGGTTTATATGACACATATCTAAAATATAGATAGATGTGATACATACCCGTTCATAAACTTATCCCATGTCTTTCGGAATAAATATGTAGTACCGTGACCATATATAAAAGAAACGGAAAAAAATCAAGTTCTAAGTTCAGTTTATCAATCAGGGACTGAATTCATAGGCTCCTAGTATAACAATCGCTACATTACTTACTTCTGGGCAAAACATTTTATCGTCACTGACGTGCTTTTAAGTATAAAAGAAACTTGAATATTTAAAATCACCATACTGAGCTTAGATACCCAGTGATCACACATCAATTCTTATATTGCATAAAGTTACAGAATTTTTTTAAGTACTACAAAATCTTGTGACTTGGTAGGTATGGTAATCTTTGGTTCCAATATCCCGTTCGGCAACGGGAATCCTTTGCCAGGTGCATGCTGGTGCCGATAATGTCTAAATAATTGTCCCAAAGTTAGGTTGACATTGAAGCAGATTTCTCTGTCTATTCTAACAAAATCTCTGATGTTATATTTAGTTATCTATTTTTAAGGCATCCGTCTAACTTAGGCTTCAGGACAAAAACCATCTGTGGAAAAGCCTCGATTTTATTGTGTACGAAGGTGTTCCCAGCACAGACGAACCAGATTAGTTTTATGACATTCATATCCACGGAGGTACCAATGAAATATAACGGCTAAATCAGGCTTAAATGAGCCGAGACGACTAAAACCAGTCACAACCCTATGGTGAGCATTCAGCTCAGAAAGGTTTATAAGGAAGAACTAGTACCGACAGACTGGAGAGGAAGATAATTCATCAAGACACGGGAGAAAGGTGTTTTTAGCATATGTAAGAAATTCAAAAAAGAACCAAAGCATTGTCAGTGTTGCTTGTGAAATGAATCTCCTTATAATTAGTCACAACTCTGGAGGATACGTCGGATACTTGGGTAAAGAAACAATATGTAAAACATCGTAGCCGAAATTTTAAGCAAGGCAGTAAAGATGCAGTTATTGAAAATCAAAGAGATAAGATGTGATGGTTAGAATAACAAACAGCATCACAAAGCTGTGTAGTTATGCCCTAAATGAAATCGAAAACTGTAAGGGATATGCATCTGAGGGGATAAAGAAAATAATATTGCAATTAAAAGTAAAATAAAAAGATGTGGTACAAAAGTGCATCTGTGGAAGGATTTCCCGACACAATTACAAAAAACGATGACAAGGTTCGAACGTCCGGCACGCAGCGAAATAACCATAGGGTGTTGTTGAGCCAAATTAATAATTTAGTAGACGTTTAACTTCCAGATTATCAACGTAGGCTTCCTAAAGACCGAACATGTACCGACCTAATCCAAACATTATGAACAACTGTCGAGTAATTGATGGAATATAGCTTGTCATTATACGTCAACCTCCTTGACAAAGATGAAGCATTTGACAGGTTGAATGGAAAATACTTTTGCAGTCTCTGCGACTATGGATTGCCTGAAAAGACCTTCACCATCCTATAGAATTCCTGCGAACGACTGTATTACGAAGTCGTGCATGAAGGGCAACCCACGGATGGGGCTCAAATAAAGGTTGGCTCCGGACAATGCTGCCTTCCTTCACATTTTTTCTTTCTTCTGGTAGTTGACTGGATTTTGAAGACCGCCACATCTCTAAAGAAGCATGGAATTGTTGTGACAATCTATGTCCGAAATCTGATACCGATATACTGTGTGGTGTGATCTAAGCTCCCTTCTTACTAGTTGAGTGAAACCACAAGAGTGACCGAGGAAATGTACAAGGCTACCAAAAAAATGCACAAATATTCATTCACATATACCACTCTAATCCTTGGGAATTTGATCCATTTCATAACTAAGGAAGCGTACTTGTACTTCCAACCGCTTTTGATTGCCATCTATTGACCTCCTCATTACGCTACATCTGAGTGGCTCTCCAAAAGTGGAATACAGTTGAATTTAAAAATGAGAAAGTGTAGCAGCAGCCTCTGCATCAGTATGCCTCAACATAGACAAGGAACGAGGTGAAATCCCGAAATAAACTAGATCACACTTAATGGAAAGCTAAAGAAGATCATCGTCGGAAAAGTACAGGTATTTACAAACAGTCGTCTACACAAGATACTCTATGTCCGTCAGCTGAATACTGTCAGCAACAAACTACTACAACAGAGAACAAAACAGCTTCCAACTAAATATGAAATTAGAAAAAGACGATGCAAGTGGATAGGACATACATCACAGAAATCATTAAGCCGCATCACGAAGCAAGCGCTGACTTGGAAAGCAGACGGGAAACAGAAAAGTGAAAGTCCAACGAACACTCTGATTCGGGAATTGGAAGCAGGTATGAAAAGGATGAATAGCAACTGTAAACAGCTAGAATTAGAGCTCAGGATAGAGTTGGATGTAGAATAAGAAAAGACGCTTGAAGTGGGTAGGACACACATTACAGAAATCAGACTATCACGAAGAAAGCCCTAACTTGGAATCCGCAAGGGAAAAAATGGAAAGAGATAGACCAGCGAACAAATTGATCTGAGAATCAAAGGCGGACATAAGAGGAATGAATAGCACTCGGAAACAACTGAGAGTGAGAGCCTAGGACAAGATTCTTAGGATAATTTTGACAGGTGGCCTATGCCGCACGAGGAGTAAATGGTTAATTAGGTACCCAGTTGGTTTTGTCAAGTCAGAATGTCTGATTTCTGATGTTCAAGTAATACAATGCCTTAAACCGTTTAAAAGCCTTTTTCTGCACCGAATACTAACATGGTATGAAGGTATACGACAAACATGAAATTAAATTCACTGGACTGTATATTTCATTAATTAATTTATTGGAAATATTTACCGGGTTTATTGAATAGTTCGCTATGGTAAGTGCAGGCATGCTTTGTAGACATCGACTCAAGTATATTTTGAATTGCCTTAGCACCTCATTCACCTATTTTCCCCAGTTCTCAGGTTTTCTACACAATGTTTCTAGATTATAGGATTAAGATTAACATAAATATTCTGAATCATTGTAAGGACGTGGTACATCTAAAATTCGGTGCTCTGTATTGCATGATCATTAGCATTTTAAGACGAAGCAACTAAAACTAATCCTTCCAAAAAATTTTGATACCTTTTGTGGAGTTGCGACTAAATGCTTGGTAGATTATGGTGGTACGTACAAAGTATTATGTCTTGTACTTGTCTTAACGTAAATATAAATTCAACGATTTGTCAGCCGTATGTAATTCTGAACGTTGGGTAGTTGTCAACTAAGACAATTAAATTCATCGGCAATAGCAATGATTGTAGTCGTACATAAAATACAAGGCGTGCATTAGTCACAATTATTCCAGGTGATAGACTATAAGCGGTGGGTTTGACGGAGTCCTTTTTGAAACAGTCAAATAAATGGGCTTTTTGGCATCATATGAGGGATTTTTCATGTAGGGGTGTTTCGTCATAGAAAAGAGTATGGCCCTACCTGAGTGTTCGCTCTGTGATGTGCGATTCTTCAGGTATTAATCATCTCGTATTGTGCTTTAGTAGGGTTTTGGGAAAGTTTTTTTTTTCGATGTGACTCTGCGTGTAATCGAGCGAGAACGATCTCAAATGGCAAAGTCTGAACAATAACTACCTGTTCTTGAAATTTCAAAAATGTAAGTTCAACCTAGTAAGATTGCTGATGACGGTAAAACTTAGGGCAAATTGTCGCCAAAGTTAATTTTACAAGTAGTATTAGCCAAGGTTGTTCGCTTTTCCTATGTTTTTTTAAAATTTTGCATTGACATTCAGCTATAACAGTCTCATCGTGTATCCTATCAGAATTCGATCGTTTATTAGGTTTTCTTGTTTACTGAAGAATACGCAGATTATAGTTTTTTGGTAAAGACACTAAAAAAGCAGTCTTCTGACTGGTTCAAGCAATAATATTAGTATGTCTGTGATGTGTTTTGTTTCCTCCAAACGCAAAATACTTATTCAGAACGGGCTTGCACGAACGCCCAAACTAGTAGTGGAAAGTAAAACAGCCGAGCGTCTCGATCACTTCATTTTTCTCGGAGGAATCTCATCAGCCTTGATGAGGTGTTATCTGATAGGCTTGTCAGGAATGACGGAAGTTTTATTTTGGCTTTCTCAGTGTATATTATAACTTTTTAGCCGGACTGTACTACATAACCATCTATTTTAATTCAAGTATCTTGCACACAAAAAGTTAAGCTCAAAATATCCGAATATCCACTTGGTAAATAAGTCGTACTGTTATCATTGGTATAAGACGTCGTAACAATATTTCACGATAATCGAGTTCTTTGGCTTAACATTCAAAAGGAAATAAATAATGCGATTTACAATCAGTTAAAAACCTAAAACTGTACTTTTTTGTTTAAATATGATTGTCATCTATGTTCTAACCACTTTTTTTGCTTTTTCAAGAAATGAATAACGACGACGTAATATGGCACACTATCAACCATTCATTCTGTTCTTTTGTTGTCAAAACTAAAACTGGAAGGTTTTGCAGAAACGATGACAATGTGACAGGGTTGTGTAATCGACATTCTTGCCCATTAGCCAACTCACAGTATGCCACTATAAAAGAAAGAGATGGTATCATCTACCTGTATGTCAAGGAACCTGAACGTATACCTTATCCTGGTAAACAATGGGAGCGTATCAAATTGCGCCGAAATAAAGAACAAGCTCTGAAACAAATCAAAGAGCACTTATTATATTGGGATAAATGGATAATAAGTCGTGTTAAGCAGAGATTCTTTCGCACAAGAGAATATCTTAAAAATATGCGACGTTTAGCCTTATCAAGACAAAAGAAATTAGAACCTATTAATCGTACAGTTGAAAAACGTGAATTGAGGAGAGAAGCAAAAGCATTACGTGTAGCACGCATTGAACGTACTGTAGAACAAGAACTCTTAGAAAGATTACGCGCATCAACATCTTCCAAGGAAATATATAACATAGATCAATCTGCCTTTGAAAAGGCTCTAGAAGCTGAAGAAATAAATGAAGAAGAATCTGACGAAGAATACGAGGATGAAGAAGAAGAAGAAGAAATCGCTTACACTTCAGGATCTGATGTTGAAGATATTGAAGATATCGGAGTGATGGATGAGGAAAATGAAGAGGAAGCTGAACATAATCTTGTTCTGACAAATCCTAGAAAGAAGCGTAAAGTTACCATTCACTATGAAAAAGATGAATGAATCATTATCTTATTTTTACTGTATATATCTTGTATATTAAAGTGAAATATACTGTGAGTAGCTTTTTATCTATACAAAATTGGAACTGTTTGAATTCATTTGTTGAACACCTTTTTGTCACTTTTCATTAACCCAACTGGTTGTCATGGTGTGTTCGAATAACCACGGTAATAAGTCACAGATTTTTACGTTTCAATGTAAAGATATTGGCCTATATTTTAATAGTAGACAAAACTACCATTCATTTTTAACCTACTGTCTTTGACTCGTCTCTGCCTGCATTTCATCCTAACCCCATAAATAGTAATCATTAGTCGAGCATTCCAGTTATGAGTTAATTAAAGTTGTCGATAGTATGAAGTTTATATATAGTAGAAACATAATGTGATCGATATTAAGAACCAAAAATGGCTGTAACCATTAGGACGTTTTCATACATATCCAAACACGGATACTGACTAGATTTAGGTGGAAGTAACCTGTCAGTGGTCAACACAAAGTTTCACTTTACAAGGATTAAGAAAACTCAAGGAATATTGCTACTTTTTGCACAACATTGCTGTGATAAAACTTTTTGATATCCGTCCATTTTGCATCCCATCAATGGTTCACAAATATTGTCCTCACAGTCAATCACTGTGTGGACGTCCCTGTGGCTGACATTATCCTTCATCTGATGTGCAGCATGATTCTTTATCATTGACAACTAGATTATAACATAACGAGTACTCTGTATTCCCAAGACACTATATATGAGGTTTGCAATTCGGGTGAAAATCTATCACTAACTACACAAAGTTCATATGAAAGGACGAATGGATTATTTTTTGTTCTATAAATCACATTGCCTTGTCATTATTTGCCATTGAAACACTAGATTAGATTGAGCTGTCAATAGGCAAGAAATAGACTATCAAAAAATGTCACCAGGGTTATAAAAACAACACAAGCCCTACCGTACACTAAACTATTCAAAGCAAATAACTGGCTTCCAAAATGCATATCCTACAATCCCTAGTGTGTGAACGACTCTGAATTATGCTTACTTTTTTATTTATTATTTTTGCCGTTTTGAAAGAAAAGTAACGACCAACAGTTCTGCTTTACTAGCGCGGTTTTGTAAGTAATTACTGAACCATCAGCACATGAAACCAGTAATAGGTCACAACATCAGTTGGCTACTGTGTTCGCATTGCCTATCTACTACTTTAGTGTGACCGGCTCTGTGGAAAGTGCCATAGTATCTGGAGTTATGATTTGTAATTTTCAGTCCTTATATTAATTAGTACCTATCGCGAATATCTTCATTGGACAGTTCCTCATAATAAGGAAACGGAAACCAAAAACCTCTTATAGTACGAGTTTACACTTGGGAATGTTAAGTCATGTTTCGAAGTAAAATCGTCGTTCTCACCTATGCAATACATCACTTCCACCTAGACAAACGCCATTTACAACGCAAAACAAGAAACTACCCACAGCAGTATTATTGATGTTGGGAAAGCAAGTACCAGCTACTACTATGTAGTTTTACTGTCTCGTATTTAAATCTTTATACACCAGTCGCAAGACCTTAAGTATATATGTACAGTATTAGTGGCATTCTTATGTTATTCCGGATAGTAATAAAAGAGGCACCGGAAACTGGTTTCCACGCACTTTTTTGTTGCAAAATAATGTGGATAAGTTTGTATATAAAACATCGGTAACGGTAGATTAATAAAGTTAATCATAGCTGTCACTTCACTATAATCAGTTCGTTGCAAAAGCCAGTTTAAAACCAACTCAGGTACTGGAAATCTTGTGGATAACCGGCTATTCCGCTTGGCAGATCGTAGCGGACTATCTAAATGAATATGAAATAAAAGTGGGCTCAATACCTCCGTGAATAGTATCTCAGAATGATATCATATGCCATCTACAGATGATTAAACTGTTTTGATAAATACTGTTTGAGGATTTCTAGTTATCCAGCAGGGCTTAATGTCGTGATATAATACAGGTAATTGAGTAACTATAATATAAAAATACAGGGGCACAGTATAGTCATTAGTCAAATTTTTGGAAAAGATCGAAATTTGTTAAAATTCCTTAATGACACATAAGCTTGCAAGTAGTGTGAGGCCTATATAGCAACTCGCCTATGGTGGGAACTAGGTTCTATCTAAACGTTCTCGAGTCAGTGCCTGGTTGGAAATTGTATGCTACCACCAAATACGAATACTGAAGCAGTTTTTCTGAAACCACGTGCACCATTCAGACTGGGTGCCTTCAACGTTCACACACTTATGCAGGTCGGACAACAGATAGGGCTGGCTATGTCTTTGGAAAATCTTAATATTGACGTGTGTTGTCTATCCGAGACCCGTATTCAAGACTCTGGTGAAGTACTACAAATTCGCTCTCCATCTGTCACTTCAAAAAAGCTTGTTTTACGTGTGTTTATCCGTGGACCCTGTGGCATCTGCGTCTGGTCTTGCTGGCTTTGGTGTCGCGCTAGAGCTGAGGCAGCACTAATCGACTGGATCCCCATCAACAGTCGGTTATGTGCTATTAGATTAGAAAGTTCCATCAAAGTGAGAAGAAATAGATGTAAGAAACGATGTCTTTTCGTCATCTCCGCCTATGCCCCGACAGATTGCATCCCGGATACAATCAAGGATGAATTCTACCACCAGTTAACTGTTCTTCTCCAGAAAGTGCGTTCGACAGATATTGTAGTACCAGCCGGAGACTTGAATGCTCAGGTCGGGCGTCTAGACACAGAAGAGAGTCTTTTAGGTGGCCGATGGGGACTTGTTGGTCGCAGGACAGATAATGGGGACCGTCTACTGCAACTGTGCACAGACCACAACCTGTTTCTGGCTAGCACTAGCTTTCGGCACAGTCATCGCCGATGTGCCACCTGGCGTCCTCCTTCTACATCTCAAGCCTGGACTCAGATTGATCACATCGCGATCAGCTACCACTGGCGTGGTTGTGTACAAGACTGCCGCTCCTTTTGGAGTACCTCTCTGGAATCTGAGCATGCCCTGGTCTGCGCCAATCTTACCTTACTTTTCAGTGGACAAAGAAGTGACCTCCACCAAAGGATTGATGTTAGCAAGTTGGTTGCAACTTCTGTTGCTAGTAAGTACCGAACCGAGCTAGCTTCTAGGCTAGCTACCATTCCACCGAAAAGTATAGATGAGCATTGGTTGCAATTGCATGACGCCATCAAAATGGCGAGTAAAGTCACTTGCGGCTTCGAGAAACGTCCCGCTTATAAGCACCGATTTCTTCAAGCTTCTTTCAACTCATCGAAGTCCGTCGATCTACTCCGGGTGACCGTGAGTTTGACCACAAACGAAGACTTATGTAATGAAATCGGTCAAAGTTTGCGTAAGAACCGAGAAACCTGGTGGTCGGAGCGTGCTAATGAGCTGGAAGCAGCAGCTGCATTTGGTAATTACCGGAAGCTCTTCCAGCTCATCCGAGCCACTGGCAGCAAGAAGTCTGGTGTGAGCGAAACAATCTGCGAGGATGACGGAACGCCAATCACTAACATCCATCGACGTCTTGGACGATGGGCAGAATTCTCGAAGTGCAGTTCAACTGACCTGCTGCTCCGGTAACATCGGTCAGACTGTCCTGCTCTCTTTGGCCGGTGACGACTGATCCACCAAATGAGAAGGAAGTCTGCAAGGAACTCCAACTCTTGAAACTTTACAAATCACCGGGCCCAGATGACTTACCTCCGGCTCTTTTTAAAGATGGTGGTGACTTTCTGACCAAGGGACTGAGGACGTTGTTTACAAACTGGGAACTAGAGAGTTTATCAACGTCATGGAATGAATCGATAGTTGTCCCTATCTTTAAAAAGGGTTCACGTCGTTTCTGTAACAAATATCGGGGAATAAGTCTACTTCCAACTGCGTGCAAGCTATTGGCTTCCGTCATACTTCGTAGGTTGTTCAGAACCCGAGAAGGATTGACTCGCGAAGAGCAGGCTGGGTTTCGTTCTGATCGAGGATGTATTGATCATATCTTCACCTTCCGCCAAATGTTAGAACACTGCCATACTTATCAAAGGCCAACAATCGTAGTGTTTCTTGATATCAAGGCTGCCTTCGATTCGTTGGATAGGACTGTTCTCTGAAATTGTCTAGTGAAGAAGGGTATGTCTGAGAAGTTTATTAACATCCTAAAAGCCCTATATACGAACACCTCAGGCAGAGTGAGGGCATACAACCACCTCTCTCCATTGTTCCATTCAAGCAGTGGAGTTAGGCAGGGTTGCCCAATCTCATCATTCCTCTTCAACTTTGCCATCGATGACATTCTGGAAACAGCTCTGATGGATGTAAGTAATGGTGGTGTGGATCTGTTGCCTGGAGAAATACTTCTCGACCTTGAGTATGCGGATGATATTGTCTTACTGTGCGAGAATGCCCAAGCCATGCAATCCGCACTTAATCAGTTGGCAATCAGTGTCCGTAGGTATGGTATGTGCATTTGCACCTTCGAAGTGCAAAGTACTTCTACAAGACTGGCAGGATTCTAATCCTGTACTCACCCTGGATGGTGAGCAGATAGAAGTAGTCGAGAAGTTCGTGTATCTAGGTAGTTGCATAAGTGCTGGTGGTGGCGTGAGTGATGAGATCAATGCAGGTATAGTGAAATCCAAAGCGGCTTATGCCAATCTGGGTCATCTTTGGCACCTTCGTGATGTTAGTCTGGCTGTAAAAGGTCGGATCTACAACGCGTTGGTGAAAGCAGTTTTGCTCTATGCTTGTGAGACGTGGCCTCTCCGAGTTGAGGACGTTAGACGGCTCTGCGTTCGATCATCACTGTCTCCGAAGGATTGTTGACATCCAGTGGCAACACCATGTTAGTAATGCAGAGGTTCGGAATCGTGTGTTCGGGAACAGAGACGATAATGCAATTGGTGTCACTATCTTGAAACACCGACTTAGGTGGCTTAGACATGTTCTACAAATGTCGTCCCAGACAATTCCTCGTCGTGCACTATTTTCCGGCGCTGGGACTGGTTGGAAAAAGCGGAGAGGTGGCCAGTGTATGAAAGAAAGCTGCAAAGGGCCGGCTTCTGTTGGTCCTTCACAACTCCCTGGCTGGGGTCCGAGAGATGGTGCAACATAGTGGCTAGAGACGTTATTAGATATGGCTCAGAATAGAAGCCAGTGGCGATCCTGTTGTAACCTTCTTTTACTTTCTTCATAAAAGTTGTTGTATATTCCTTAGCTGAAAGGATTCTGGTTGTACCTGTCCGTTCCCCCCATTATTATCATTACACTACCTTACACTAATCTTGTCGTTATTGTTCATTTTTTTTCTTTTACGCTACTTACCTTCTGTTTTTTTCTCTTCCAATTCTCATTGTTTTGTGTGGCGCATATATATTTGGTGCCCTCTTGTACCAATATTTATGTGTTTAAATAAATAAATAAAATAAATCATTTTCATCTCTGAGTTTTAACAGGAATTTATCGCCTAGATGTACACATTTTTCCTGGATGGTTCGCATCCAAGAAATTTGAATTCAGTCTACTAAAAACTGCGTTCTCAATTACTTGCACGGAGACAAGTAGAGAATCCACAAAGACCACATTGATAACTGAGAATCGCTTAGTCTTACACACGATATGTAAATCAATCATATAATACATATGCTTCAGTAAAATTGAAATGCTATGCAGCAGACTTAGAAAGGAAGCGTAGAATTTCAAAGAAAAGCAGGGTAACTTGGAGAAGAAACCACTTTATCACACTACTATGAATGGAATGACGAGAAATATATCGGAAAAGTTTTTATTTTGCATAATAGGTTATATAATCTGGAGGTTTTGAGGCAGAAAGCTAAAAATGAAGCCGATTTACTCTGAATTGTCAACTCGCTAAATAAAAGCTCGCATTCATGATTACAGTGACTTGTGCTATTCCTCCTGCTCTTACACTAAAATTAAACACTGAAAAGTTAAAGATGTATGTAGTCAAAATCAATTTCATTATAATGCGAAGAAGAGAAATAAATTACAAGATATTACTTAAATACAATGAATACATTTAGTTTATAGTCACAAACGTTTGTTTTTCTGATATTCTATGCGAGAAACTTTATGTTCATCATTGACAAGAGTGTACACATATAACTGTATCGCGGTTTCTTGAATATCCAAAAGGACAAATGAAGGTTGCGGGTTTCTATTCAGAAAAAAGAACCGAAAAGGGAAATATACGCATATGATTCGTTAATATTGAACAACGCACTATCTGGCACGAAGCGTGTATTAATCCAAGTTGTTTAGATCTTATGCTATTTACATACTGATTAATCACATTCATTAATAAATACTGAATCCCGATGCAAATTTTTGGTCATTAGCGAACAAAGTAAAGAAGTAGTACTTACTTTTCAAAAGGGCTATATGCACCGGTAGCAGAACCAGGATTGATATAAAAGTGTCCAGCGTATTCATAGGCTTCAAACTTATGAGTATGACCACTGATTAATATATCAACATCTAACTCCCGTTGCAGCGTAGCTAAACTTTTTTGGTCGCCCCAAGGAACTATTTGGTGTCCATGTATAAGTCCTATCTTAAAGTTTCCAACGCTTAAAACCTTTGTAAGAGGGAAATCTAAAGCCTAAAATTTCATGACAATAGGTTTCAAAACATACCTCATCAAAGTCACCCTTCACAACATGCACATCCCCACAAATAAGTTTTAAATAGTCATACATATATTTCGAAGTAAGGTTTCCCGTGCATAATATATGTTGTATTTTTCCAGGAGCTAAAAGAGTCTTAAAAGCAGGATGTAAAGAACGTTTCCTATCAGGAATGTGGAAGTCACCGATCACCAGGACCAACTGAATTGATAAACCAGCAACAAAATCCTTACCATGTGAAACCCAAAGATTTCGAATGTGGCACCACTGCAAAATACAAACCTTTTTGACAAATTTGTGTGATCTGTGGGGACAGAAAACCAAACACAAAACTAGAGAATTTATTTGGAGCAGAAAGTTACAGCGAATAACGCAAGTTCGTTAAAATTAGCTAGCCGAAAATATAAGAGCTTTTAGAACTTATCATAATGTGAGATCACAATAGTAAATATAAGGTCATACGTGAGTCGGTAAGCTTCATACTTTATGTAATATTCAAGAAGTGGCTTTATTAGATATTTCACAATGGTCTGAGATTCCCGAAATTATAGTGCAACACTGAAGTCTCAAACAGATGTTTGTGAACGTTTTGGGAATTACTTGTAGTCGTCAAACAACTTTGACATAGGATTTTTATAATCTTGATACTTTTCGTCCTTATAAGATGGAAAAATTAGCACCTTAAAGTTTACGAGTACACTCAATGGTTTGCTGAACCATAAAAAATATTACGCTACTCGTGAATCATGGTAAAGGATTAAACAACTTCAAATCCAATAAATATGAAGAGCATGAATATTTAGTAAAAACAGAAAATACTCTTAACAAACTAATACGTTTTCAGTAGGTAGGAAAAAACAAACGAAGTTCAAAGTAAAAACGAACAAAGATTCCAGCGGGGCATATATATTTCTCAGGCTATTATTTATTTATTTGAACACATAAATATTGGTACAGAGGGGCACCAAATATATATGCGCCACACAAAACACTGATAATTTGAAGAGAAGAAGAAAAGAGAAAAAAAAAAGTAATGAACGTGGGGAATTATAAAAAAAAGGGAGAGAGAGAACAATGGTGGGGGAAACGGAAAGGTACAATCAGAAGAGATCTTTCAGTTAAGGAAGATATAAACACTTTTTATGAAGAAAGTAAGAGGTTACAGCACGATCGCCACTGGCTTCTATTCTTAGCCATATCTGATAACGTCTCTAGCCACTGCGTTACACCGTCTCTCGGACCCCAACCAGGGAGTCGTGAAGGACCAACATAAGCTAGCCCTTTGCAGCTTTCTTTCATACCACGACACCATGTCATATACTGACCACCTCTCCGCTTTTTCCAACCAGTCCCAGAGTCGGCAAATAATGCACGACGTGGAATTCTCTGGGACGACATTCGTAGAACATGTCCAAGCCACCGAAGTCGGTGTTTCAAGATGGTGACACCAATTTCATTATCGTCTCTGTGACCGAACACTCGATGCCGAACCTCTGCATTACTGACATGGTGTTGCCACTGGATGCCAGCAATCCTTCGGAGACAACGATGATCGAACACAGAGAGTCGTCTAACATCCTCAGCTCGGAAAGGCCAGGTTTCACAAGCATAGAGCAAAACTGCTCTCACCGTTTTGTTTTTGAGTGATAAAAACGACAGATCCGTTGATCTTTGTTAATTATAGAGAAACGTAAGTTTCGAAGTGGTCAAGTTAGTGACTGCACTTAAGCATGTCTAAATGACTAACTGGCTGATACAGTTTCTAAAATGCTAGCCTCAATAATGATTCGACGTCCAACGAGAGCTGGTGAAGAGCAAACACGATGAAATAGGCTTGTTTCATAACTGGACGTGGATGTATAGATTAAATACTCACCCTTCGACAGTTTTTGAAACACAAACATACTCTTCGACGTCTGATTAGTTGTACTCCTTGACCTCAAAGCGGCGTTTGACTGCTGATCGTGAGGTTAACATTAACTTAGAATAGGCTAACTAATCAAATACTGCTGGAAAATTTAAAGCTTATGGCAAACAATCATCGCGATCGGCTGATTAAAGTGGTGTTCGTCAAGATGTTCCGCTCCCACCACTGTGGATAGCTAGTAAATATAATCGACCGAACAGCTGTAATAGCACTGTTAATTCATGCAGGAAATAATTCTCCGAATCCCTACTCTTAAAAATATTTAACAGTAGATCTGGTACAACCTGGTGAGTAAGGATAATCTCGTCGATAAACAGTTGATGAGGAAGACGAAATCCAATCCTGAGGTTCTTTAACCTCATTTAAGAAATGTGTCAGCGTCCGAAACGACTAATCCTGAAGACGCAGTGCCAAAGAAAACCGTACGCACACTTTTGAAATGGCTTGATCAACAAGATGCCTGACACAAGAATACAGAATAAAGGACAATGAGAGGCATAAATACTTTTGTCCCTAAACTAATTAGATTTCAAAGCTTACCAAAAATGGGAGTAACCGATTCAAATTTAACCAACGAAAAGACAACACCTATGCTCTTTTTATTCGCTTCTAATATGTAAAAAATCAACAGCAAGGACGCCCGGGTTATTTCACTATTTCGATTACCTGACATCTAAGAATAACCGTCAAAAGAACAAGCTGAAATATATAAGAAACCATGAAGTCTCTACATCTTGTGAGATCATTGAGGGAATAAATGAGATAGCAATATATAAATAGAATATATATATATATATATATATATATATTAGAGGGGAAACTTGTGAACTGAGCTACCCATCACTAGGATAACTGCAGCCAAAAAAAGCTATTAGGACCGACACCTAACATTGATAAGCACGATTTTGAGAAACCAATTGCTCTTTTCTTGCTCGTTACAAATTCTTAACGCCCTAAAACGCCTATGGACATTGCATTTGAATAACTTGCTGTCGTATTGTGAAATGGACACTATATTGAGGAGTTGGTTACTTATGAGAATGGGCCGCATGCAACGCCTCTACTTCATGAGGTGATATTAGAGGCTACATACAACATGAAACTAACCACAATGATTTACACCAATATATGCAACGAACCTTCAGGTTTGAATTTTGTCGACAAAAACACGTCCAAACTAGTGTCCAATATCAACGTGACAAGTTAGCGTAAACGGATTGATTACAGTTTCAGTTTGGAAAGGATGGAAGGTTAGATGGTCTGTGTTAGCCTTGTCAATAGTTGTCTCTCAGTTGATCCAATTTTCTCCTGAAAGATGTAGCTTCAATCACGTGTTAAAGCGACGAAGTCCGTTTGTTGATGATTCAATGGGAAAGTCAGTAGTCAGCTGAAAAGTAATTTCTTCCGGGCTTGTAAACTTTTTTGAGTGTTCCCGTGAATTCCCTATGTCGAAAGACAAGAAGAACGAAGGCATATCAAATCTAAATTTATCTCCAAGTTGTTCAAAAACTGTGATCATGTCATCTCTGATTCTTCTAAATGACAATGGAAATATGCCGAGTTAGAACAATCAAACATCATACGGAAGCTTCTCTATTGCGGGAAACAGTTTAGCCTCAGATCTTTGAACTTATTCCAACAGCTTACTGTCTATTTATAGGTAAGGGGTTAGCTTCTTGTACGTAATACTCGAGTTTAGTACCCAGGAATACTATATATATTGTGAAAAAGGTCTTAGAATCGGCATGGCTAAATGTCCTAGGTATTGAGTGTGAGATTCTAAAACCTTTGGCGTTTATCGCACGGCAGTGTGTCATAGTTTCTAACTTTTTGCTGACGATGATTTTAAGTTGTTTTGTCCGGATAACAGGTAGTCAACGTTATTCACCTTGCAGATATATGTACCTTGGTTACTCATATGCACCATAATGCACTTGTGAGCATTTATCGGCAACTGCCGAATTTTAGATCGGTCAGATAATTTCTCAAGGTCATTTTGGAGCGCTAAACTATCCCATGTATTTATCATCTCTCTCCATATTTTTACATGGTTGCATATAACAAAACCGATATTGATAGGAAAGGTCGAAGGACTTTTACATACATGACGATCAACACTGACATCAAAAAGGCATCTTGATATGTTCTTCTTGTAGTAACCTATTTTCGTCAACAGAACGCCATTGGTTTAATGGAAACAATCACTATTATATTCAATTGTACCAGTGATTGTTTTACTGTGCTCGTTTGTTTAACTGTACTAAAGACAGCCATTACTCTCCTCCATTACATTCTTCCGTGGACTGTGACCTTGTACGCTCGTTCTTCTGCCCACTAGTTCCACTTGTATTCCTTTGGGCACGATCGCGGTAAACTTTCGATACCACGAAATCAGCAACCAATAAATCTGGTCACGATCCCTCTTCGCATTCTGATTTGTCTTGTACGCGCTCTTCTTGCACTGGTGTTCATAGTCAACTTCGACTCGTTGCCACGCTACATACTAATCACAGTTTCTCAGCTAGACAACTGAGTTCACCCCTTCTTTTTTTAAAGTCATTTATCCATATTGGTAAACTACCTCCTACCCCAGTAATACTTAAATTATATAGCCGCTGATTGTGAGGAAATTTGTCAAATTCTTTGCTGAAGTCAATGTGTGCTAAAAGTATAGATAACTTTTGATCTTTAGGAGCACAGTGACTTTAGTGTGCTACTAATAAGTTAGTGAGTCAGGAATAATCTGTTCTAAAGCCATGCTGTTTTTCAGGAAGAATGAGATTTCCGTTGAGATACTTAAACAACTCCCTCCGAACAATCTTTTCCCAACTTTCAACAACCACGCTTGTTGGGCTTACGGGTCGATAATTCTTAAGTTTATATTTCGTACCTGTTTTGAATGCAGAAACTACCATTGGCATTCTCCCATATTTTCGGTAATCGACCCACGGTTACAGATAGATTAAACTATATACTTAAGGGATTTGCAGATACATCTCATCGGGTCTCGTGGACTCGCTTTTTTAAAACTTATTGAGCAAAGCAAAGGCATCGAGTTCTTTAATGGTCACAGTGTTTAGTGTGTAGGAGGTTTGTATGGATTGAATGGAAGGGTGTCTCTAAGCTATATACATTGTTAAAGATTGGAAACTACGTCGAAACAACTGAAGAAAGCATATGAAATAGGTTATCGATACTGCTTATTTATTTTCAGCCTCCTTGACAATATGACTTTCGACTTACATGTATTGAAATACATGTTCACTTATATCAAGGACTGTTTAATTTTTCAGAATTAGATTACATCATTCTTATCCAATCGCTCAACAGCAACATAGCTATAATGTGTTTTCTGTGGATTCCGATGATTATTTTATTACTTATGACTTTGATAGGAAGTTTAAAATAATGTTGAAATCAATGTTAGTAACAAACATATAAGAAAAATATTTCGTAGTTTTAACTATAAAACAATGTTGAAGCACTAGTTAACTATAACGTGTTTCATCAGTAATAGCTAATTTGGGTCGATTATATTGACGTAAATTCATAGACAATAATTTATGTGGCCAGTATAAGTTTGTTTTGAATAAACACAAATATCTTGACTGCTTTTATTTTAAAACTATTAAAATATCTGCAATATCTTTTGAAGTCTAACACATGTTTACAAATCATCGTAAAAATATGTATCTATTTATTCTGGATCTTTGAACGTATTCAATGCGTTTTTTTCTTAGCACACTTTATTTCCTTTTTCTAGATTGCGGGCGACTTGATCCTTTGAAGATAAAAATGATATCAATAAAAGAATTTAGTAAGACTAAGGATAGGTTTATAGGAAAACTATAAATTATCAGTGATAAGGGCCGTTAATCAATATGAAGCAGTTCAAGTATAAGATTCATAGTAATGACAGTTTTATATTGTTGTTGAATCTCTAAAATGACTATAACTTCATTTTAGTGAATTTAAACTCAAGTATTTTGGATGAATGAAATAAAAGGATATCATGTAATTTAATGGAAGTCATTGAAACTGAATACTAACATAAAACGGAATGAACATAACGGAAGGACGAGTCGTTTTTTGTAACTTTGCACAATAGCAATGAACTTACAAATAGGAAGAGAGCGGAATTAGACTCCATGTCAAATCAACACAACCTGTTGTTGGAAGTCAAATGATTAAACTCTATGGACTACAATTACGCAGAAAAACTAGAACATCTGCCATTTTTAACATACTAATACAATTTAATTAGTCACTAGAAACCAGAGATCACAATGTTTGTATTTTATTGAATACTGGGACTTTCGAAAAATAAATATTTTTCTCCTTTATTCTAAAACCTAGTAACTGAGAAAAGTTTCTTTCAGAAAGAAGTATTCCTGGTCATATTAATCTGTTTTAAAAATGTTTTTAATTTCAATGTTTGAGATCATGGGTCAGTTGAAGCTAGACCAACATGGAAAACCTGGAAGCACTGGACGGCCATTTAGTCCTATTTTGAGACTTCTGAGGAGTGCGCATCCACAGCCCAAGATCTATCAATCTTGCGCGTGAATGCTTAACCTCCAGAGCACTGAGTGGACATCGAACGGTGTTAATGTCTAACTTCAACTAAACCACAAAATTCAAGGACATCCACCTTTGTGTTCATTGAGTTGCTATCTCACAACAGACCCGGTTGAAATTAACCATTGAAATTACTATAATATCGATAAAAACCCTTCTGAAATGTTTTTAATTTTAACATAACAACACAAATCACATGGCTTGAACAATACGCAGTATACGTTGTATTAGGTTATAGTTTCTATTACTTACTAGGTCATTTGTCTTCAGTGTTTGGATTATATTTCGTTTAAAAATAGATACATTTCTAACTTTCTTGATCATACCTTTAGTCTGATATATATATATAAGGCATATAATATGACTAAACTTCTAAATAAAAGGCTGTATTATATTGCATTGTACTCTAACCTTTTACATTCTGTGTTGGTCATCTAGTATATTTGTCAAGAAAAAAAAAACAAACTGGATTATTCATATGACTTGTTCTTAGTTAATCATTGGTTAATCATAAAATTGTGATAATTTACTCATTCACATTTTATTCCTCTTTAATTGAGTCCTCTATGTGTGTGTGTGTGTCGAAAACTGAAATATCTAGTGTAAAAACATGAGAGCATAAGATTAAGGTATGACTTGCAAAGTTCAATGTACAGTCGCTTCCACAAGTTCTTTCATTACTTATTATACAATTAATAACGAAAATCACGTATATTGAATTATTAAACAACGTAATAAAGTAATAAAATACCTTTTCTTGTTGTACTTGGTCCAGACCATAATTGAACACTTGAATGATTTCCATTCACTTCACTGGAAATGATATTGGGTTTTGTATATGTTTTTTGACGTATACGACAATGATCTTCTTTTACAGATCGATTATCTGATGGAATATTATCAAGTGATGAGATAGAATTTAGTCGAATAATACTTGTTGCATCATCATTATCGTCACTTAGTATTAAATTATCAATTTTAGGTGACCTGGAAAAAAAGAAAGCAAGTTCAAACAATTTATTATTATTATTATCATTATTATTATTAAAATAGGGTACGAAATGTAAGTCTTGGATTCCATAATAGAAAAAAGTACATAAAGAATAAAAATGTTAGTTTCCTTGACAATAGAACTTGATAATAAAAATTTTAAAAAGATTATACGGGTCTATAAAAGTTCTGACTTATTTAAAAATACACTAATTTACTAAATAGGATGTAAAATATTGATATCATATAGAGACTAAGATCTAGATTGCTGATGAGTTTCACACTAGACTGAAAGAATTGTTCACATATCCTTGAGTTTTTTTTTTTTTAAAATTTATCTAAATAATTCCAGTTTTCATAGAAATGATTACTTTCAAGTTATACATATTTTACGGAATGAAATGAATTAATTCGGTCTAAGAACTCCATATTTTCTGGGAATAGTCTAAGGTGGTAACGAAAATAAGGATAAGAATATAGGGTTTAGAGAAAGATTTCTACGAGTTTCTCAAAGTGAATGCTCTAAACTATATAATTTAAATGAAGAAATATCCTCTTAAGTTCAATCTCTAGTTACTCATTGGTTAGTGGATATAAAAAACTCAAAAATAAGTAACAAATAGTGTATGCCACATTTATTTCACTTAACTGAAGCTATTCTTATCAAGCGTTTCCAATACAGTTTATGTATACAGAAAAAACGCTTGTGAAATTATAAGCAAAGATGGATAGCAGTGAAATTCAGGACGTGCGTTTCATCCTATTTGGGACTCGTCAGCTGGATGTACTTGAATCTCAGAGTTGATGTTCATTCTAGGACTCGAACACAATATAGTTCGCTTCAAACGTCATCACGTTATCCACTAAGCTACTGAATCCTGATAGCCACTTGCTTTCGCAATGAGGTGAAGTTTAATTTCAATTGGTATTGCGTACTTGAATCTTCCCATTGATGTTTAGGACTGTAATTGATCAGTCTTTTATTGGCATATGTTCATATTTTGCGTATTGCTTCAACATTGCCTTAATTTTACAAGTACTATAAGCAAACGAAGCGAACGGTTCTGGGTTCCCAGAGTGAACATAAAATCTGAGATGCAGGTACATCCAGCTGATGAGTCCGAAATAGGACAAAACGTGGGTCCTGGATTCCACTGCTAGCCACTATCTATCTTTACACTGATCTATAATTGGTAGCCTATTTCTTTGATGATTATTTAATCATGAATAGACTTTAACTCATATTATACTTAGATATAATCTAAATTAACGTTGACTTTTCTGAAGTTCGTTTTCATCTTTCTCTCCTTATTGTCTTCTCAGTTAACCCATTTTTTGTGTGATGTCTTATACTACTTGTTAATATTCAGTAAGCAATTCTATGTCTAATAGTTCTGAAATCATAGGGTGATGAACGTTCATTTACTGTGTAAGTTTCTAAAGTATTTACGTGAACCAATAACATTTACTGAATTTATCGTGATAATTACTCTCTCTCTCTCTATCAACCCTTATAATAATTATTTCCAGTTTTGAACATTCATTGAATCCTCGTTTAAATACAACGGCTTTCATATTTGTGTGACCTTACTTCCTACTTTGGTCATTGGTAAATTGCTGTTAACATTAGACGCAGTTGCCATATTTCAATTACTCTATCGTATGTTGTAATTACCATTTGTGTAATTATAACAGGAAGCCTATCTATTTCCAAACATACAGAGGCGTTAATCGACGCAAATATCTCATGAATCGAGGCTTGTAACTAATTTATGTACATTCTTGAATAATGGAACCGTTCTTTAGACAAATCTTTGTTTTGTTTTTAATTTCGACCTCGCATGTATTTCAGTCATGTAGCTTGACACATCGATAGAATGAACACACTTCTATGCTAGAGCTGATAGTTGATAAAGCATATGACATTTTCTTCAAGTTGTAAATTTTGAGAGTTCTAAATCTTATTCCATAAACCAGCTGTCTCAAAATTACATTTGAAATCTATTTGTAAGCATTTGTATATTCCCATTGTTGATGGTAAGGTGCTACAACAGATCAGTCACTTTGGAATATGTGCACCTTGAGCGGATTACCTTGATGTAGTCAATAAAATGGCAAGTTTCAGTTAGTGCCTAGCAGTTGGATCCAGAATACTCATTTCATCCTGTTAGGGACTAGCTAGTTGATGTCAGTATTGATGTTCACACTGTGACTTGAACATTTCATCTTTTGATTCGAATGCAGTACAACTTTATTCGAAGCATTTACTTGAAACTTTCTGAATAAGCCTTCATTGTTCCTTTTTGTTTAAAGTTTTTAAGTTCTCAATGTATATTTTAATTTATTTCAATCTATAAAATAAATTTACTATCAAACAAATTTACGAGTTCAATATATAGGTATATTTATAGGTATAATATTTTTAACTACTCACATTAATTCAGTAGTTTTGTTCATTAGTTGAATTTCATTATTATTATTATTATTATTATTATTATTATTATTATTATTATTATTATTATTATTATCATTCATATTTTGTTTTTTATCATTTAACACTAATAATGCATTACGTAATCGTTTAGTTTGTTCCATTAAAAGAGCAATTCTAAGTTCATTTGCTCGAATTTGTCCTTTCAATTCTTCATCAACACTTTTTTCATCCGCTAAATTGAATTTATTTTTAAAAAAATACCAAAATAAATAACAAATCAGTTTTGTAATTAAAAAATAAAAGAAAAATATTTCATGGGATATTTTCAAATTTAAACTATACTGATGGCTTCATGTAAAACAATCAGATGGAAGATGGAACCCTTTTGATTTTTAAACTAATTTCAAAATGTAATAAAAAAAAACCGAATGTAGTTCAATAAAATCCACGTAAAAAAAACTGTCTACATCTAGGCGCATGCAATACTTAAACTTCTTGAAAATATCTTCTGTACAGCCTATTCGTAAATGTAACATGGTGTGTAAGCTAAATACCAACTCCTTATGCAGATTATATCTGACATATTTGATGAGGTTCAGGGAGTTGTCAACAGCGTTTTGTAAATAAAAAGTAACCTATCACTTCAACCACATATCTTAAACTTGACTCCCTAACCTAATCATAGATCCTATCCCAAACACTCCTAACACTCAAGTGTTATTGTTAGGGTACTAACTAAACATAATCCTAGCCCAACTTGTAATATCCACATATAACCACCTCTCGTTGACTATAATAAATAACTCAACATGTAGGAGATTATTACTCATGTTACAACTATTTATTCACTTTTATTTTATCATTTTCTTAGTTGACTTCTTCATAACTAAAGGTAGTCAGTAGTATATAGATTTATTGATATATTTACAGTTTGATTTCGCTCTATCAGTGAAATTCTGATCTGAACTATGATTATTTCTAAGATTATTTTCAGTATAAATTCATTTATTTTAAGTATCTTATTTATTTAAATTAAGTTTAACTGTTTATTTTGATCTCTTTGAACCAAATGATTGGATTGATTTAATACAAACTTTAAAATTTGGAAACAAGTGATAGGAATGAGTAGGCTAAAACATCAGTCTTATAATTGAAGATTTCACTGGTTCATTATCAACTGCCTTAATAACAGTTATGAAGAATATTGCGATTAGAATTGTGTGAGTTCAGTCCAAACTGTTTCATCACTCTCTTTCCTGAAATATTTATTTTCATGTTACTTAATAAAACTATTGCTAACATCTTAAAACTATTATATCACTTGTTAATGATAATTCTCTTATGCCTAACTGACCTATACTACATGTACATTCAAAACAAACTAGAGTTCTTTGCGAGGGGGGGGGGATTAATATCATTTCTCGGTCTCTAGAACCCGGCTTATATTTGAATTAGAGGTTTGTATTGATAATCTCCAGCCATATTGTTTTTGTCAGACCCAGTGCAATCATCAAGCTTTCTATACTGAAATAAATAAAATGAGATTCGAACCTGTGATGTATTTATTTTCAAGTCGAATGATTCTACTAACTAACAACCATTACGCTTTCTTAATTTCTAAGTTTATTTGAAATTTAGAATTAACTAAGTTTTTTTACTGTGATACTAAAACAACGAAATACAATGAATTCATCCTATTGCATAAGCATTGTTATTATTGTTTTGTATAAATTTGATAAGAAAATCATTTACAAAAAATTTATGTACTCATTTAATTCTGCTAAATAAAAAGTTCAGATAAGTCTAATATTTTAATAGTTTAGATCATAAGTCAATTGAAGCTAAACCACCATGGAAAACCTTGGAGCACTGGACTGCCATCTCATTCTATTGTGGGACTCCTCAGCAGTACGCATCCATAACCCCGACTCGCAGGATTCAAACCCAGGACTTATTGGTCTTGCGCATGAAAGCTTAATCTCTAGACCACTGAGCCAGTATGAATTAATTGTATATTGTTTCTTTTTGTCGTTTTTCCTTAATAATTTCGTTATAATATTCAATTATTGTTTTAACTCGATCATAATTATATAATATAAAACTTACTAGTTTCATTTTCATATATGATTGGTCCATTTAAATCTGGATATTGAGCCATATTTAAAAGATTTTCATTTAATTTATTTAATTTTTCATGTAATTCATTATTTTCTAATTTAACTTGTTCAAGATTCAATTTAGTTGACTTTTGAATTTCTTCATTTTCTATTAACTTACTCTTATTAACACATAGAAATAAGGGTAAGAAATAATGATATAAATTATCTTACTTGAATATCATGTAAGGAA